GGAATCAACCCTAATAACGGTGCTGGATGCGTAACATTTTCATTTCGCGGACCTAATTTTTAATTAAAACGCAAAAATAATGGGCGCCATAATGGAATAAAGGTCGCGCCTCGCTGAAGGCTGAAAGGCCAAATTCAAATACGAATCCAATAAAAAAATATATTGATATCGCAATTGTTTCATGCTATGCATTCATTGACGTATTATAAAATTCATTTCTATTATTATTTTTATTTGGAGTGAGAACAAGGGCGGAAAAATACATGATAATTACAATGAAACACAAAGGATCATGAAACAAAATGTGTATCAAACCAAATCATAATGTGTATTATTCGAACAGTATTTTAATGTAACACAATTCTTGTAAAGCTTTGCTAAACATTCGTTTGTTGTGTAGCCTCCCATTTTTTTCACCATTTATGTAATATAATGAAAGACATAAAGACAATTAGTTAAAAGAAAAAAAAGTTACAAAACAGCCGCATTTTATGTAATGTAATTATTTTTATTTGTATTTTCTTTGATTAAAGATTGTATATTATTTTTAAAATAATTATAAATTTAATAATAATAATTCTAAATGATTATGTTTGAATAATAGATAATTTTAATTAGATAAACTTTCTGTTTTTCTTCTTAGTAAATGTAACTTTCTTTATGAAAAATAATATTTTAGCATTTTATTTTAATCGATTTAAAAGGAACTTTGGAAAAAGACTTAAATTTTAAATTAGATTCGCGTCTCCTGCGCTCTAGTGTTGTTATTTCTAGGACTTAAGGGGTGTTACTTGCCCACGATTGCGTGGTATTTGTTACGAAATCGGCTTACGCGAATACTTTAATAAGTTGCGGGAACATTTAGCGGGGTCGGTTGAGAGGAAAGTAGGAGCGGAGTCGATGGATGAGAAGAGTGAGAGAGATGTTTCGAATGGGCACTCTGCTCGCAATTAAACGTCGCATTCGATCTGATTATTCGATTGCTTGTCGGATTATCGAGTAGAGCAGTTTCGGTTAATCCGATCGGTTTTTGGGTCCATTTGCGTTTCCATCCACCGCCCCCGCCCAGTTCATGTTATTTGTTGTTCTCCGCTGTTGTCAAGCGCCGTGTCTCCATCGATGTTTGTTTTTTTTTTCTATTCCATTGCATAAAATATTCAAGAGGATGGATGGCGGAGCACTTTTGAAAAGTTAATGGTGGAGCCACATAAAATAAAAGTGTTGCTGCATGCATTTTATTGAATTGTTTATTAAATATGTATGGCTTTCTCCGACGGTCGCCCTTCCTCACTAAGAAAGCGGGGGTGGGGGGATGTTAGTCTTTAAATATTCATAGCTTAATTACATCTTGATGGAAGCAAGTTAGGCTATGGTCAACCGGTAAAGTTCCTTGACGAAAACCGAAATATCGCATAAAGCAGCGATGATCAAAGCCGTTCTCGGCTTTGTTTCTGGAGGCCGCTTCCAATAAAGATCGTATTAATGTACTAATTGGTTACGTAATCCTTTCCGGGGGCCGCAAGTTCGATTACCATCTCCAGGCTGGATGCTAGTCAAAGCAGGAATGCGAGCATTTCGAGAGAACTTCCCTCGCCCATCCCACCTTTCACAGGTGTACTAATGGTAAAATCGATAACGCCACCGCCGCTGACACCCCCACCCCCCCTTTTCCCGTCAACGATCCCCAATTTGTCAACCGATACACGAGAACTGCCATAAATATTATATTATACATTAAGTTCCAATCGCAATCTATATTACTTATCTAGGACGCCGCTTCCAGAACTAATTTTAGAGGGTAGCAACAACTCTACATGCGCGACGCCGCCACCCCCAACCTTACCTTTCAATAATTTACCCTAACTAAACCAAAATACACTCACTCCCATAACAATCACATTCAACAACGTCCATCAAAGAATAAACAAAAACTTTTTACCTCATTTTTTCAAAAAGTGGATTTATTCAATTTTTAAATGAAGCGAATCGAAATTTAATTTTGTAAAATACCGGCTTTGTATTTCCAATATCCCTTCAAGTTTCATTTTTTTAATGAGAATTGATGGAATTGTTTAGTGTTGTATTGATTGGTTTATTAAATCCTGGATTATTTCTGGATAATATTCAGTAAATTATGTTTAATCTTTAAATTCAGGTAATATTTTATTATTTCAATTATAACAAATCTTCATATTGTTCGTGATCTAATCTAATCATTATATAAGTAACAAGTCTAATCAAGTAGTTAATATCCAACCAGAACAACTATTACTTCAATAACTATACCGTATCGATGTAAATCCAATTTCCAAGTCGTGTACTAATATGCTATAATTTGAAACTCAATCAATGCTTAATAAACTTACACTAACTTTCAATTGGTAAGATGAAATAACCTATAGCAGTTTGATTTCACATTCAACTTAATATATGTTTTTCAGTTCAACTTTAATCCAATATTCGATAATCTGATTAAAAATGACTTCTTAGTTTTTTGATTATTTGAATTTTCATCACTATTATATAATATTATTTGATGGCAGAAATAATATTCATTTTATTATTCGTATTATATATAGAGTTTCGCAGACTGGAGCATTGTTTATTGCCTACCATTTCGAAGAACAGAGCAACCCGAAACACCTTGCCGCCTCCGCTCGCACCTGACAAACGAGTTATGTAATACCCAGAACGGTGACGGCGGTGGAATTTGCATATATTATTGCATACGCAGAGACGTGTAAGTATTGTGTTTGATGGGGGTAGTAGAAGGTATATTAAAATCAATTCATCATGTTATCCAATAAGTAGTCGCCAGAATTGATGTCAATCCAGGAGTCGGGTGACCGGCTTCCCAAGCACCTTCAATCATTTCCATATTTTGTAAACTAATTTAGGCGGAAGCTCGTAAATTTCGTTTGAAGTTCCATAGAGTGAGGGGTTGTTCGATGCAGGCTGTTGAGCTGTAGCTTGCACGAGGAAAGGAAGGAAGGGAGACAGTCGTTGGCTGAGTCTGCCATCTAGATCCACATTGTAGATACCTTTCTAACTGGTCGCAAGTGTGCAGTAATTCAAGACAAGTTCCGAACTGAGAAATTAACTGAGGGTTTTACAAGAAACCCCCATCCAACACTTCAACGATCCAACATCCCCAACCCTCACAAAACACACAAGGAATCACACATAAAAGTATATAATAGCTTCATTTTACAGAAGTTTAGAATTGCGCACAAAAAAAAACAATTATCCTTGTAATAGGTAAATCGTATTTCCATTCATCCATCGAACTCAATTGGTTTTTTTTTGTAATCGAATTTACACGGATATTCTTTTTTTTATATATATACTTTTCTCAAGTGTCCGATCAAAACAAATTGATTATTTATTCCCCACTTTGCGTAACGGAATTTCATCAATTTGCTTAACAACGCACACAAAAGAAACGCATGTAGTTGAAATCCATTAATCTTCTTCAATAGTCGACTTCATCTTCGAGAATAAATATAAAATTTCACTGTTTTTCTTATATATTTAATGTTTAATTGTGGGGGTGTAAAATTTGGGGTGGTTTTTCTCTCTCTGAGCGTGTATTCTGTTTTATATGGGAGCTTTGGAGGAAATTGAGTTTTCGTACGAGAGTGTATAGATAAATGTTGGGGTAAATTGATTCGAGCATCCGGCATATCAGAAGGAGGTTGGGTTTCCCGGAAATGGACTTTATTCGGAACTTTATTCTGTCCGGTAAATTAATTAGAGCCCTTTCATCTCGATTTCGCGAAAGATATGTGCGAAAAAGTTGTGTCGACAAAGAAGGGCGGAGGCGCGCGCGCGAGCGGTTAGTGCGGTGAGCACTTACGTAACATGTTTATATAAACTTTCGCGCTGATAAATTGGCCTGCCAAAACCAAATCCCATTCGCTAAAGGTTCTAGTCGACGGGGATAATTCATACCAATTAATATTTCAATGGCGGAGCGGAATATAGTTGCGATTGATTACTTTGCGCGCCACCCCACAAAACCGAAGTCTGGGGGAGCCAAGACGGAGCTTTGGAACGAGAATAGCTCTTGAAAGATAAAGAGAGAGAGAAAGGGGTGGCGAGGGTGGAAAAGAGAAGGAGGGAATTGATCATTACATTCGTTAAAGAGTTAATATTAAAATTTTCAATTAGACTTTCGCAAAGTTCCTCCAAAATGACTAGATAAATTCACTTGCGCAACCAGTAAAGCGCCCTTATTAATTGCACCCTTCCACCCTCGCAGACTACTTATTATTTTCTTTAATGATTCTCGCGCAGCCAAAGAGAAAGTTATAAGAAAAGAAAAAAGAAGAAGGAAATTTAACCGGCAGATAACGTATTTGTATTTATAGGCCATTAGGGAGAGGTTTCTGCTCGGCTTCAAAAGTAATTACGACGATGAAAGTATTTTTTTTTTCTCATAATTTGTTTATCGGAAGAGGAATTGTTACAAAAGGATGAGAAGGCTCCTCTTTGTCGTAATTGATCCAATTCAGCACAAAACCGACGGATTTAATAACGCTCCGAATCAATGCTCAATTACAGTTTGCGGTAACGATAATTCGGAGAGTTAACCGCAAGGAAAACTTTTTTTTTTCCTACCCCCAATTCTTCTTTTCCTTTCCCTTTCTCGCTCATCCTCTTATCCCCCTTTATCATTATTATTTCGAAGGGCGGATTGAAACGTGACTTCCTGGTCTGGCAGGTTTTCAGAGGCCTCCCAATTTTAAGTTAATAACTAGTTCATGAAGTTTTCAAAGAGTTTATACTGTGGAACTTCGTTGTCATCTCCGCTACTTAGAGGTATAATTCCTTTGTTAACAACTGAATTCAGAAAATTATAAAGAAAATTCACAATCTGAATTCATTTTCTTTAATTTCATCCCGGAAAATAACATTGCAAGAAACGTATTTCGAATAAAATAATTATATAATATTCAAATGAGATTAAGAAGCATCGTAATAAATTATGAATGACTTACTTATTTTCCAGAGAGCACCATCCGCAATAAGGGTCCTTGGCATTTAAGCAATCCCAGCACGACTTGTAGACGCTGCATTCCTGCACCTTCACTTTCGATACCTGGAAGAAGACAAACAGAAGCTACGTATTAGAATGGAAAAGAAAATGAAAGAAAAACAAGGTTAGAGTAAACAAAATAATATATATATAAACGGATGCGCCGGGCAACATAATTCAGTGTTTCCATATTCATGGAATTTGTTTTTCAGCGATGCAAATTCAATTCGATTATCTTCAAGTCACGAAGACACTCATAAATAGCCACTCAAAAGAAACGTGATAATAGAGTTTAACGCGAAGCTTTCTCAGCGAAGTGATAATAAATAATGCTAAGCGAATCCTCCACCCTTCCGACGAATAGAAAAAAAAAAGTACGCTCAACAAAATAATGATATACACGTATAACAAACAAGAATTTCTGAGTTCGAAATATAATAACATTATTTTGTTCTTTTATTATTATGAAATGCGGTTTTTATATTAAAATACGATGTTTACAATAAAACTCGTAATTATGTAATTTTATGTACGATTACGAAAGTTAATGGAATTTAAGCTTTTTGTTTGTTGGAATAATACATTAATATATTAATAATAATAATTTAGAAACATTTTCGTGTAAGGAAAATATGAATATTTTGTTATTAAAATATTTAAAATTAATTAAGTTAATGGAATGAATTTTTGTTTGTTTTTTTGGTGGAAAAGTAAATGTAAATGCTATTAGTTTAGTTGTAATAGCAAATTTCATAATGGACATGAAAAGTGAGAAGTAAAAGAATATGTATGTTTTTCAACCCTTTCTTTTTACTATGATAATTGTAAATGTTGAATGTATATTGAGAATCGATAATTATTTAATGATTGATGAGGATTATTGGAGCGGCAGAGAAGACGTTCACTTGATTCTCCCTGATCTTGGGGCGTGATTTGCATCGAAGAAAAATGGTAATTCCAGTTTGATCGTATTTCGCCGGGAAATCCATTTAAGTGGCAAGCCGCAGAGCATTTTCGCCGCGGAAAATTTACCGGCACGTCTCGCGCCTCCAAACGTCCCCTCTTCCTCCTCAACTACAAGAACCCAAGAAAATCCACCCATCGTCTCTATGGCGACGCGATCGTATTTCGCGTTTGGTCACCCCTGGTGGCCATTTATTCAAAAATTGCATGCCACGTGGTGATTAAAAGATCCATCGGTCCAGATTACGCAAAAAGTCGACTGCGACACGCGAAAACGATTCAATTCGCATCGAGTAGCAGAATGGTTGTAACATAATGAAATATATATATGTCGTATATATGCTGTACGTGTCCATGCATGATATAATACACTCGAGGAATAAATGCGCGCGATATTTCGTTCAATAAAATTAATAATATTTGACTGGCGAACGTCGAACGGCATTAAATTATATGACAGCTGTCGAGTTTATGTAACGCGGAAATCAATAAGCTGCAGGTATACGAGTATTAGATGGGAATCGGTTGCTTTACGAATTTACGGTTGCTCCGACAAAACAACGAATACATACATTTCGTGGATGGTAATGTTAATGATACAAAACGGCAGGTATCGATTAGTGCCTAGCTCTTATTAGGTATACAGGAATGCGAGAAGAGGTCATAGGTATTTTCATTTATATAATCATCATCGGAGAAGGATACAAAACGTGTAATTATTAAAAGACATTTCTAACATTTCCATATATCTGCAATCCAATAATCATTCCTTGCGTTTATTACGCGCTCGTTTTGTAACAAAATTTAATTATACTGCTACTCCCACGATGAACTTACGGTGCTATTCCACTTTTTTTTTTCAGCAACATTACACGGCTCAGGTAACTGTTGTTTAATTTACGCTAACGTAAACGCACCTGAGCTTTATACATGTAAATTATATACAGAAACAATATAACTCAACTTATTGTTAAGTTAACTCAAGTTATTAAACTTTTTGTATAAGTTAAAAATTATCAAATACATATATAAAATAGAGAATTTCATTAGTTTGAGGATAGGTAACAAATAGGTCGATGTTGTATCGGGTTGAAGTCAATAGACTCAACTCAATAAAAGTCGGTTCGTTTGGAAAAGAGAGAATATGATCAATGAAAAGTTTGCTCTCTCCTACTTTTGGTTTTGCTTTTGCTCGGTTGCTAGAGAACGCAGGCGCCCCCAAGGCCGGGCGGCGGCGGCGACGGGGCTGCATGCGTGCCTCGTCTTGATGTGAACAGGCTTATGCGTGTCCACCCGCCACCTACGCCGCCCCTCACGACGTACTCGTTTAGCCGTTATCTTATATTCAGTCGGTTGGGGAATTTTTTTATTCAACGACCTGGATCTTTGCATCTCTGTAACCTGATCCCTCATGCACACATCAACCGTAAAAATGTCCAAGGCAGTATCAATTAATCGAAAATCTCATGGACATTCTTCCATAAGTTTAGATTTTTAGATTGGATCGGAACTGTTGCAAAAGTGAGATGTTCCCCAATTTCTCTTTTATTTTGGTTCATCCTAAGAAAGGCATGCCTAAGGAATTCGTAATCACAGGACCGAGAAACTTCGTTTCTACCAGCAAACATTACATCCGCCATTGAATCATGAGAGATGACTCCGCCAGTTTTCAGAGTTTCTCTACTCCAACCATCCCTCACTCGTTATATTTACATTTATTCCGGGGACCCAAAAATCCACTGTAAAATCAGTTTCGTTCCACCCTCACCAAACACACTCTGATTTTCCTTACCTTTATTGATTACAACCAAAAAAAAAAAACAAGTCCTGCACCAAAATCCCACCAACCCCCATAGACCAAATAAAAAAAAAACGGAACACCAATGAAGAAAATATAATAGAAATAGCAAAATAATAATTCACTTAATATTTTTCATTTTTTCATAATATTAAATTGTAATAATTTAAGATAAAGCATATTATTATAAAAAAAAAAATGAAATTCGATTCATTATATAAAAGAAGAAATTGTGTTTGTTGGTTACCTTCTTCTCGGTCATAACGTAAAGATGCATCTGTTGGGAGTCGAAGTGTAGGTCGGGATTAACGGGTGAACCTTCTTCAATAGTAAGATCACCATATTCCAGGCCAACTGCTGCCGACTCTACAACCACCTGAAACAAATAAAAAAAAATCTATGAGTATATCTATTCCATAATAATTCAAAGTTGTAAATATTATTTAAAAAATTATAACGTATATGGTTGAAGATTTAAGGAAAAGTGTTCGTTTTATCTCCGTCATAGAAACTAAACACGATGATGAACAACTTCCGGCATTGTTCCTGCAGCAAGCGGTGAAAGCCAACTACAAACCTATTAGACATCCGACAAATAATATAACAGAGTTATGATACTTGTTTTGATCGAATATCCTCTTTCAAGTCAATTCAATTATGATAGTTAACGCAAATATTTTTATACCATTTTTTATTAATTTTTCCAATTCAATTACATTTCCTTAACTAAATGTAATAGTATAGTAACAGAATCATTTCCAATCTTGTAACTCTCAATTAAGAGGATATCGTGAGATCTCACATTTTTCTTCTATATTCCGGTTAGAACTGAGAGTTTCAGTGATCCAATTAGACACGTGTTTTCGGATGCCGACTTTAGAAAGTCTAAACATAATTACCCCTACTTCAAAAGATACTTCATTAATAGAAGAAGGATTATAATATTAATTTTCATTCATTCATACAAATGATATAATATTTGTTTTGTAGCCACATTCCAAGACGGGAAATTAGTGGAATGTTTACGTAATAAAACTGGGAATATATTTTGACAGGCCATTAAGTGGGATTTAACTGTTGAAAATGTAAATCGAATCTATGAGTATATTGACAGAGGCAAATAGAATTAAGTAAAGTGTAAAATGAATAGTTTCAAAGGGTGTATGTATGTATGTAAAATTATGTGGGTTTTTGAATAAATATTCCGTGTGTTTACATTCGCATTGTCCATACCTGAAGCTTGTGGACGAAATATCGTATTTTCTGTTACATCATCGCAACGGCAAGCGTGAGAGTAGACGGTGGGTATATATAAACCGGTTTTATCGGAATCGGTCCAGATAGAGGAGATCGGAAAGCGTTTCAACTAAAAATGATATTTAAATCTATTGGGGGGTGAGAATTGAAATCGTCTCAAGATTGGTATAAATTTTGCTCTTCTTCAAACATTGGTGACGCCTCGGCTCTCTCTTTCCCCTTGAAATTGATTTATATTGAAGATATTTTAATTAAAAAGTGAAGAGTCTTCGAAGGGGAGAGAGCGGACCAGCCAATTGCCAGTCATTGCTCTGAACTGCTTTAATTTCGAGACGTCGGTTCTTTTGAACTTAAAAACTTCGTTTTAATAATGCACAATATAATTATGAAACTGCGCTCGAAGATTATTATCGCTCACACCAGTTAATCGAATCGTTTACATAGAGGTTAAAGTTACCTCTACAACGTCGTCATTGCTTATTTCTTATTTATTATTAATAATAATAATATTGGATAAAAATCATATTAAGATAAATATAAATTTGGTGAAAATCAATAATTCATTTACGGTTGCTCTTTAAGAATGTTTGTTGTTCGTTCGCAAGATCGTCCGGATTCTTGAACTGGAAATGAGAAATAAATATAATTGGAAATCGAGGTTTCCGATTACATTCAGATTTCGTTCGAATTAAGAAAGGAATTTGAATAAATAAACGCCGCTTACTGCGCGTTGTATTTGCGATGGTATTTATTTTGTGCCTTGGATGGAGGAGGATGAGAAGACGCATACCGCGAAGCAATGCAATGCAATTTGCACACATCATTGGAAACTGCTCGCTCTCGCACATTTCAATAAAATTTGCAATGGAATTCAAATTTCAATATATCTTTATTTGCCTTGTAAATTTTAGGCAAATGAAAAAAAAAGAAGAAGAAATATGCTGAATTCGATGGGGGGTGGCGGAGAAGAGAGTCAAATAAAATGGGGAAGCAAAAAAAAAAAGCGCGTTGAGTAACAGCGAATTCTTGTCTGGGAGTGGAGAAGATTAGCTCCTTTTAATTAATTTAATTGCTTCGGATCCCCGAAAAGGAGCTGCGAGGAAGCGATTTTAATAAGTGGAAAGGAGGGAATGTTGCAGTAGAGTCAGAGTAACAACAGCTCAGCCACATTTGGAAATTACCTATTTTATTCCGTTTGCGGCGCGTAATTTCAATTTAAAATTAATTAAACCCTCCCAACATCAAAGTGTTTTATCGAAATGATTTGATTTGATTACGGGCCGCATATTAATCGACGGTAGGACCGGATCGGATCGGACCGATCCCGGCCGGACATTGGGACTCATCCCTTTCTGCCGCCCCTAATTAATGCAGCTCAACTGCAGTCCCCGGTCCCCCCACTTTTCCACGCTCCGGTAAACGCGAATATGATTTCGGGAAATGCGGATTTGATTTCGGATCGATCCGAAAACCCGAGTTTCATGAGACGCGAGAAATATTTGATCTCTTCCCTTATTTTTTTTTTACCCGGTAATTTTTGCGGTGAGATAATTTTGCGCGTGGGGTTTTGTTTATCTACCCGCGGGGATAATCCATCCTCTGCTCTTTCTCCGTTTTTTTATATATATATATATATTTTTCTCGCTTTTGGGATGGAATCTGCTTTCGCTCGACTTCATTCCATTTCAACTTGTCTTTTTTACGGAGAAAAAAAATAAATGGAAGGAGACGTACCATTGACCCAAAAAACTATAAATCGCGAGTGGATTTGTGTGTTTTAAATCCTTCGCGATATCAAAAAACGTGTGCAATAAATTCCACTTGTAATGAATTCACCTGCCGTCCGTTTCGTTCTTTATTTCCCCACCTGAAGAAACGTTAATTAAAAAATCTGCCGATATTTATGGGGGGACATATCGAGGGGTCGACGGTGGGATCATTCCAGTGGATGCATGGGCGATGCAAAATCTGCTCGGACTCCCAAGTGACTTCGAGGGTTGATTCATGACTCAGCAGACGCAAGGTAGGGTGGAGGGGGCGCATAATCCAGATTAGATGACGTGACTTCCCGTTCCCCGCTTTCGGAAACCTTTTCCGCCCACCCGCCAACAACCTTCCCCATCCCAAAGAGCTCAAGACATAAAATTACACTATTTAGCTGCACAAAGGATCCCATCATTTTATAAAACCCATTCCGTCCGCATTCATTAACCCATTCATTCTGAAACTTACATCGACTTTATACCTTTATAAATACAATTACCTGGACGACCCCGCCCATCCCAATTTTCCAGCCTACCACCGTCCGCCATCATTTTATACCCACCAATACCACCATACACTTTATCAATACCAAAAATCCACTTCAGTTTCACCAAAATAATAACCTTATACTTAACATCAAAAAATACCATTGTAACTCTAATAATAATTCTAAATGTATATCTTCTAACAAAACCAAATCAAAGTTACATCATTCATAAAATTTGGAAAAAAGTTGTATAACTTTATAGCCACGTTATCGAAAGGACCTTCCGTTTGACCTGACCGCGCCCAAAAAGAAACCTGTAGGTTTTCTTTTTTTCTTGTTCGAGGTGGGAGTCATAAATTGACGTTATTGATGGACTAAATTAGCCCTTAACCTTGTGAAAATTCAATAAATTGTGGCGAGAAAGGAAATCGAATAATAAAACGAATAAAAAAAAATAATAAAAGTCGAATAGATTTATTGTCCTTATTTCTCTTTCTGAATACGTGATTCGAGATGGAAATAATTCTCGTGAATTGTACCGGTAATAGTCTAATTATTTATTAAACAATTTCATATATTTATTTTATTATTTTTTTCGCGAATTCTTATGGTTTGCATGTAGAAATAAATTCATGGTGGAGCAAAATATATATATATATATATGTGAATACATAAAGCAAACTCGAATCAAATATTCATATTCGCTCTTGAGGCGAACAACATCTGCATACACACACATATATTTTAGCACGAAATATAATCGACCCAGTTTCGTTGAAATTTCGTAGCACTTTTCTACTTTACGCAATAAACGAAGTAAGGGAGGAGGACAGTTGCGCTTTGGTTTAATTAAAGCAGCAAAACGGTTGGACGATAAATAATTAATAAGTTGAAAATTTTATTGAGGACAATAATAATTAAATTAAATTAAATTATTCGGTTTATATGACGTCTGCCCGGGACCGGGTGTAATTAACATAATTAATTTTCAACTTCGATGAAAACTTCATAATTTCTTCGGGGAAGTTTCGCGGGTTAATGAAATTTTATTTGTTTTTTTTTGTCTTCCTCTTAGTTTTCATTCTCTCTCTCTATATATATATATATATATTTCCTGTTTGCTTTTAAATCTTGAATATTGTTCGATAATAATTTGGATATAATCATTTGGTTGCGGAATTATCTTTTGGTAACGTGAATAGTTGATGATGTTTATACGGAGTTTATAGTCTGGTTTATGTGGGCCCGGAGGCAGGGGTAGTTAGAATCTGCGGAATGGACGTGTTGATAATGGAATTTATCGTACGGCGTAATTGAATGCGAAAGGTGGTGCAACCACCCCCGCGCGGTAGCCGCACCCTCATCCCTTCAGTCGTAGTAACGTCCTGATGGAAATGTAAAGCCGCAGTTTATCTACGAAGCGATGTTTCGGATTCTGGAATTAGTTACAACAATGTTACAGCTATGGTTGATTACTCCCATGGCTGCTATGAAGGCGGCCTGCTTGCCGTTACCCAGTAACCAGTTCATAAGCTCATAAAAGTGTGAATAAAAAAGGAAATTAATTAAAGCCCGGGAATTGGGTCGGGTGCCATCAGTAAAGCACCATGAACAGAGGTAAAAGTAAACGAGAGCAACGCGCACACGTATATATAAATATATATATATATAGAAATACACGCACATATGAGGTGTGTCCACGAGGAGCAATTAAGACATTCCAAAAGCCATCCACGTCCTTCCATGAAATCGCAGACTCCGAATAAAAGCGCGATCATTATTCTCGTTATTATTATTATCATTATTATTGCGGTTACGATAATCGCATTCTGATGGCGGAAGCCGGAAGCCAAGAGGAAGATCTGAAG